CCACGGAGCGTCACGCGCGGCACCGCTTCCGGCTGCTCGAGCGGCATGGCGGGCGGCGCGCGGCTGAGGCGGCGCGGGAGGGTGAGGATGGGGACGGGGACGGGGACGGCACCGGGACGCGGAGCGGAGGACGGGGACAGGGGAGGCACCGGGACGCGGAGCGGAGCTCGGGGAGGCGCCGGGGCGGTTGTGTCCGGAGCTCCCGGTGTGCGGGAGCCGCTGCCCGGGAGCCGCTCCTGCTCGTCCGCCCGTAGGCCGTGCTTAACGGCACGAGCCGGAATGAGGAGGGGACAGACACTGAACCAGCTTCGGCACTGCTGGCAAAGCTTCCCAGTCACATCTGGGGAGGAAGGCGTGAGAAAAAGAAGCCTGGCCAGCATTTCTGTGCAGAGCACACTCAGCCCTTAGGAGGGCAAAGAAAATAGAGTTGAGAACGTGTTGGCCCTGGGAGATTTACTGTGGTTGAAGCTACTAGGGAATCTGAATTGCTGATAGGAGACTGATGGAGACACTTGTCTGTATTTCAGCGTCAGGAAAGTGTAGCAGTGCGAGCATCGCCTTGGTTCAGGCACTCTTGGCCATTGCAGTAGGTTTCTTTATTTGCTGGGATCATGTCCTGTCACCCTTTGACTTGTGCGGAACTGTGCAGGAGTTACTGGATAATTGCTAAACGTAGGGAGTAATGTTCACAACAGGGAGTGGGGCTCTCCCTGCAAAATTAATCTTAGACTAATCTGCCCAAATGAGCAGATTGCGTTTGGAAGGACAAGGCCTGCCTGGTCTAAGGGGAATTTTCAGGGTTTGCGATAGCTGGAAAAGGGGATGTTTGCTTCATGCAGGAGAACAGCATTGTGYGTGCTGGCGAGCCGGGGGATCTGCAGTTTGCAAATAAAACAACCAAAACCAACCAGCCCTTTTCAAGGGACATTCTGGACCCCAGGCTATGGCAACGTTCAAGCCTCTGAACATATCAGAACTGCTTTTCWGCATCCATATGCTGCCTGTCTCCTAAAGCTCTGTCTGAAATCCCGTCTCACACTGATTCCTCCTAAAAGGTTACATTTGCAAGTGCTCTAAAAAAAAACACCCTTTCAAATTCTTTTTAGGAGCAGAAAGGAGATAGATAGAGGCCATGAARGAAGGTGTTCTAAATGGTACTTTGCTGTGTGATAAGGAGGCAAATGCAAGTGTGAAAGAGAGGCCAGACTGCAAGATACTCCYGACTGTCGATCTTGGCGCTTTGGCCCTCTCTTCTTTGTCAGAAATGTCGTCAMGGAGCTGAAGTGAGTAGTAACTGTGAGGCACGATGGAGGAGCAGCCTCCGGGAGGGAGGTAGAAAAGCAGTTTTCTCACCGTCTGCTTCCTGCAGCCCACGAGCTGGGGCTCCTGCTGCTCCCTACTGCCAAAATAGACCACACGAGGGCAGGAGTCGATTCTTATCCAGTTGCTGGTTTCCCGAGTGGTTCCTAGGGACTGTCAGTGTTCAACAAAATTGAAGACCCTTTACCCCAGGAACACAAGGCTGAACGTCACAGTCCCGCCTGCTGGAATCGGGGTGAGCGAGGAGTGAACCCCAGCACCCGAGAAGGGCTAAATGAAGGGCCAAAAGTGAAATCAGGAGGAAGCAGCTGCTGATTTGCATGCCCTGAGAAACACGATACGTGGAAAACACTGAGCTGGACAAGTTACCAGCTTTCACATTCCCCCTTCCAGTACCTGGGGAAGTCCTGTTCTTTCCCCGGATTTAAACTTCTTTGAAGCCCCCCTTTCTAACAACGTGTAGAAAGTCTTTCATTTGATTGCTCTGTCTAGTTTGCTTACTTCCCTTCTTTGACTGTGAGGAATAATTTTTATTTTTCTGCAGAATTATCCTCTTTTTTTTTTTCCCCTACAACCAGACTAAGGGCTWTAGAGCCTTCCTTATCTGTGAAGCTGATCTGCAAAGATAAAATCCATAGTCACTCTATAGGACTGGCCACGTGTAAAAGGAAAGGGAAACCTGTCAATCACTGAGAAATGCTGAGAGCAGCAACCGAAGCACTTTGTTTTTTCCATCAGGCAACCAGGGCCTCTTTAAGGATTAAACTCGGTGCTAAATTTAGGTGCATCTCACTAGAGTTAGTATCAGGAGTTATCAGATCAGAACATCTTTGGAGGCAATGACGTCTGTGCTATGGAAGTCTAAGCCCTGGCATGCTTCTCCCTGCCCCATGCAGAGGTTGGAGCTGGGAACATTTTGCACAGCCAGGAGCATGTTGGGTTTTTGAAAGCACTTGTAAAAATCCCTCTTCTCCCTGCTTCTGTTTACTATTTTCTCTATTTTCTCTTTTTCATAGYAAAATTTGTTTGCAACCCTGAAGGTGTATGGTATAGGAGAGAAGAGTATTTAACCAAAGACTTTTAAAGAGTTAGATGTGAGGGGAAAGAAGTGACATCCTTAAGAAAATAAGTAGCCCTTTCCAGATCTTCATCTAAYTGGCCAGAAGACTGACTGCCCTGATGTCTCCAGAGCATTCCCAACTCCCTGCCCTGGAAACAAGTTATTCTAATGCCAGGAAAAGCCCTGGTATCTCTATAATGAACATTCTCATGCTGACAGGAGCAGTCYTGTATGTGTGAGTAAACAGAACAGGCTTCCCAGGGTGCTGCAGCAGCCTGGGCCCCTGCAGCAATGGCCCAAAKCTGCTGGTTTTGAAAGAATAAATCTTTGCTACCTGGCATGAAGGAGCCTGGTCAGGAAAGGCTACCGAAACTCAGCCCTGAAACTTCAAGAAAGGGTCTGTATCTCTCACTATGAAATGCTTCACTGTGTGAAAGCTGAGCCTCCTTTSTGGCAGCTGATCACATCCCAGAAACGGGACTTTGAAGGTGAACAAAGTTTCCACTTTTTACATATCTCAGAATATTTCTTTCTCATGGGGAAAGTAATAGAAAACACCCTTATTTGGTCAAGTGCCAAGGAACAATCAGAGTCACTTCACAATTTTATTTTTGAGGGCTTTCATAAAACAAAACTCTCCCTAAACCAGACATTGCCTAAAACATGAATTACAGGCTTGTGCATGCTAGTGTTACAGCAGGTTTCAGTAGATTAGTATCTGCAAAAACAGGCAGAATGCCTGTTTTCTACCAAAAGGGAAGGAGAGTCACAAAGGTAAGGCACTTTCCAAATCCAAGCCTGCAAATATTCTGACCTCCTGTACTGGCTTTCAGCTGGTTGTATACAACAATCTTTAGGTTGCACGTATTCTTTTGTTAAAGCAGGCATTTTAGCTTCAGTTTTGTAAGAGGAACAAAAGGGGAGAGTTCTTAAAGTCCTCTGATTTATATTCCCACTTTCAAGCCCCTTAACCACCCTTTTCAAATTCAAGATGACAGCAAAGAAACCCCTTATCACTGGGGATGGCACCAAGCTGCTTACAGAAAAGCTCAAGGCTCCATCCCCAAGGATACAGCAATCTCAGTTCTTGGTGATGAAAAAGAAATTATAACAAATATGGGTCTTTGAGCACAGTGCTCCAGATGATGCTTTTAAACATAAAATCATTACAAACAGTTTGAAACAAGTCTAAAAGTCAATATTCCTAAGCCTTCCCTGAGCCTTGTAAGACACTTGATATTCTCCTTCACCAGGCACAGCCCCTCCCAGAGGTCAGAGTTTTACTAGAAGGGACATACAAAGGATACTGTTTCTTCAGCTGGTGTTCTCTTATCAGTCCTTAAAAGTAATTTTAATCCATTTGTTGCACAATCCCCGTTTTGGGCCTTTTAATGTTATTTTAAGAATATGGAAAATACTCCTTTCTGTGGCGAGGAAAGAAGTTAAGGCTGATCTCCAGCACAAGCCAGCACGTAGCTGTGGGTTTAAGACCTTACTTAGAAGTGTTCAATTCTGTACACAAAGATGCAAAGCTTTTTTAAAAAGCCATTTTCGGGTCCATTAATTTGGCACCCTGACAAATACAAATAAATAGTAATAAATACTCATGTACACTTACACACACTTCATGTATCCCACTGGATCATAAACCAGGCTTCTTCCTCAGATAAAGACAGTGATGTTTGAGGTGGGACACAATTGCTAACAATGTGCAGCAACACTACACAACAGTTTGGAGTAACAATACATACCACTTAGAGCATTTTGCAGCTTCAAAGCCTTTGCAAACAAAGATTTAGCTAAGAAATATATAATGTTATATCTATTAAGAATCAGGGAGAATTTAGATGAGAAGGCAATTACCCAAAGTGGAATTTGGCCAGGACACCAGTTGATGTCCTTATTGCATATAAAATGTCACATTAACTGGAGATACTGCAGACGGGGGAGCTAAGAAAATTAGATCAGGTTCATATGAGACGATTTAATTTCCTTGAGTAGGAAAATCCAATTTCCACATGAATTAGTGTCTAAACAGTTTGCTGTTTTGGCAGACTTCAAGAAGGTCATTGAAAACTCAAAGGAATCTATTGAGTTACAGGAGCACAAACCACTATCTCCATTCAAAAATTAATACAGTGAAAGGTTTCACATCAGCTGAAAACGCTGCATCATAATTGCTGGCAATTTGGGAACTGGCACCCGAGTATCATCCTGGCACAAATCTACAAATCTCTTAAAATAAGCACAGAATAGAGAGACAGACCGAGTAGCAAGAAGCAGCAGAGAGCACAGATGTAATTCAGGGACCTGCCTGGCAGTGTCCTGGCTTCCACCTCTTCTCTGAAGTCTCMGAGAAAAGGACTGGAGGATAAATGAGGTCACAGGTGGCTCCGAGATGCAGCTCTGGAAGAATTTTCTTGACCTATTTACTGTGCAGTCGTTTCTTTTACTCGGCTTTTTTTGCTTTCCTTTTCCTTGTGCCTTCATTTAGCTCCTCTTTAGACTTTGCAGGAGGAGGTGGCGGATGGGAGACGTCATGCGAAGCCCCGTGGTGGTCGTGGTGATGACCTGCATGTCCACTAGCAATGGAGCCAAAGAAAACTGGGCAGATGAAGTCTTCAATAGGAGCAAAAGGTGAGGCGTGAGAGTGAGTGGCGGTCATGAAAACCTGGCAACAGTGAGTACAGAAAGTTAATGATCACATAATTAATAATTCATCATAAAGTTAATGATCTGGGACAGAATACTAGCAGTATCTTCCCACTAAGCACAGGTAAGAGTCCCTGTTGCTACGTCACCCGAGGGTGCATTGCAAGGATCTCCTGGGCCATACAGTCTACAGCATGAAGAACTCGGTCTATATTTCTTGAGCAGACTCCCCTATCGTGTACAGGCAATGCCTTCAACAGGGCCCTAGAAAAGTGAGCAAAGCTAGCTGCAAAAATTAGTCCTAGTATTTTTTAACAGAAAYCAGTGGGACTCGTAGGTTGTCTTCTTATTGCCCTGCAGAATAGCTCAGTCTCATCACTAGCTCTCTTAAAATCAACATTTTCACTTTTTCCACTTCTTTATGAACTTACTCATGTAGAAACTCTACATGGGCAAGAAAACACAGGCATCTACATGGAAGTTCTAGTGAGGAGGCATCAGCAAAACCCAATAAGCAGAGTAAAAAGCAGCATTTCAAAGTCAGTGTTTCAACTTGAACTACTGAATTCCCTCAACTCAACTGTACAGCCCTTCTCTGCTTCTGTAGATTTGTTTTGGCAGCAAATCTGGTGTAAACTTACCTTGCAAACTATCATGAACATGGTGAAAAAAAAGATAAGGTTGGCTTCAGAGATGGGGAGCCAGTGAGTCTGTTGCAGAGTGAAGAGGAACGTGCCATACAGACTAGCCTTTGTAGGGCTAGGAGAGAAATAAGCAAGTTGAGAAAGGTTTGCATAGTAGGAGMGAAATAACAAGGTGTCTATAAAGGTTTGTGTAGTTTGTATCCAATCCTGAATGGTTCTCTAAATTCCATTTTCAGTCTAACAGAGAATTCACCATTAGCTACTTACAAGGACATATGAAGAATTTCATTCGTTTCTGGCCTCCAGACCCCACGCAAAAGTTGCTCAAAGTTGGACATCAAAGCAACACCAGAACCTGCAAAACAGTAAAAAGGAACAAATAAAACCACCACAGCAGAAGAGAGCTTTGCCCTCCCCGTTTCCTAAGGAGAAAGGATAACCTAAGAGAAACAAGAAGATCATATCTCACTTCCCAAACTTGGAAGTTGTGACCCTGAAGTACCAGTTAACTGCGTCCACTAAGCAGCTTATCCGTGGTGYGTTCACCTCGGCTTCACTCGCAGCTTCTCCCACCCCAGCCAAGCAGATCCTTGCTTCRTTAGAGCCCCTCACCTTTGACCCATCCCGTGGCCATCATAACAAAGCAGCCGTGGTGGTGAGCGTGGTGGACCCCCGCTGCAATTTTGCGGACTCTGACCACCTCCTTCATCGCCACGAAGACGAGCTTCATCGGCAGGAAGCTGACACACTTGTAGAAGAGGTTCATGGGACAGAAGAACATCAAGTACCTGGAACAAAACCCCCAAAAGTTCAGGGATCCCTCCCCATTTGGGAGACACAGGCAGGGTTAAGAATACYGTGGTGTTAGCCTGAATTACGTGGGGGAAARGGAAATGCTGGCAGTGTGGCACAAAAGCACACATAGAGGAAATTAACCTTTGAGGAATCACGCTTAATTTGTGCGCATGTCACTAACATGACCAAAAATGACCCCCAAACTTCCCTGCCTGCCACTCCTCTACTCTGTGCGGTGTCAAGTGCAGCACAGGCTGCTTTGGGGCTTGGCTGCGGTTCAGCCGTGGCAGCTATGAATAGAAATGCCGTGCGGCTGGCCTGGCCCCAGCACCTCTTCCCAGACACTGGGCAACTGGTCGGACAAACTGGAAACCAGATCCAGGAACACAAAAGACTCGCAGGCGACTTCATGCTCCCTCTTCTTGCCCTTGGTTTTTCCAAGCAGGGTAATACACGTGTGTCACAAGCAGAATGCCTCTCTTCACCCGGGATAATTTCATAGGCAGCCTGCAGTATCTTAAGCTTAATTAAAGTGAGATGAAGTGTGAAAGACTCACCAGACCGCCGTGGCCAGGACAACACTGGAGTGATGGCTGAAATAATGAAGAGGGGATTCTCCAAGCAGCAGATCAGCAAGTATGTAGCTTCCGAAGCAGTGCAGCATAGCACAAAGCCAGGAGGCAAACGGGCTTCTCCGAGACATCTCCACAGCTCCTAGGAAGCAAATTCCAAATGAGAAGACATGTCCAGCAAACACATAGAGGCTCCAGTATCCTCCAAGAGACTTTCGTTTTCTCTGACAACAAAATGTCAGAGAAAAACAAGGTAAAACAAAATACAAACATGTATTCAGTGAAACCTGAACACGTTAAGGTACTGCCTAGAAATGACATGTGATTGTAGCTGACAGCCCCCGCAAGAGATTTCACATGAATGGAGCCATTACAAGTTTATGAGTTGGCTAAGGTTTTGTCTCCTACAGCTTTGCTACCTCCTGCAAATAGAAAGAACATTTTTTTTCCCCTCAAAATCACCGTCTTTTTACAGTCTAAAGATAAAATGCATACTAGTACCATTCTCTCCATTGCTTCAACCTAGGTGCCCTCTAGAATTCATGAACAAGCTGAACAGCTCTTTCATTCATTAGATAACCTGTAAAAATAGAACAGTAATTCTTAATCTGTTATTGAAGAGGAGATGAGGATTCTTTCCTGCCCTGCTCTAMTTTGCAAAAGTCGTAGGAGTTTAGACAATAGAGCTACATATTAGAGGAGTGTCATGGTCTAGGGATACCGAATGGTCTCCCACAGCCTTGTGMTGTGTTGCTGGGTTGTTTTTTGATGCCTGTAGCTGTTTCCGACCATCGCTCTGCTTCTCCAGGGAGGTCTCTGGAGCACATCGGCTCTCTAAGGTTCCKTCACCACCCTATGCTGCTCACAGGGCCCTTCGTGCTGCTTTTCAGTCRCCACATTCATTCAGCAAACCAGTAACAGGCGGCCAAATGACAGCGCGCTGAAACCTTGTGTCAACCTAACTAACGGCGCCCTGCCTTAAATTACAGCGTATGCCGAAGCCGTGACCGTTCGGCACGGAAAGAAAACGGCGGCCCCGAGGCCACCCAGAGCGGCTGCAGCGCGGTGGAAGCGAGAGGCTTCGCGAGCCCCCAGGCGAGGCCGGTTCCAGCGGGGGGATTTCGGCCGCGCTCGTTCCGGCGGGAAGGGAGCGGCGGCGCCCGCGGCAGCCCCCGGCCTGGCGGACGGCGCTATTTCTGCTCGCCCGCCTTATATAGCCGCGGGCCGCGGCGGCCGCACTGACCTGGCTCGTACTTGAGGTAGAGCACGGAGACGATGTAGTAGGCGAGGTCGAAGAGCGGGAAGACGGGGATGGTGGCGAAGGCGGCCGCGAGCTCGCCGAGCGGCAGGGCCCCCGGCAGCTCCATGGCGCTCGGCCGGCGGCGGCTGCGGCCGCTCTGCGCCCCCGCGCTCCGGCTCCGCCTCTGCGAGCCCGCCCCGGCTCCGCCCGCGCCGCCGCCTCCGCTCCGCCCCGCAACGGCGCCCGCTGGCGGGGGACGGAAGCGGCGGCCGCTTCTTCCGCTTCCGCCGCCGCGATGCTCGGGGACCTGCTGCTCTGCGGGTACGCGGGGAAGGGGCGCGGGGCGGCGGGGGAGGGAAGCGCGGGCGCTGCCGGCCTCACGCGTCTCCCTCTCTTCCCCAGGACGCTGCTGATGAACGCGGGCGCTGTGCTCAACTTCAGGCTGTGAGTGCGGGGGGAACCGCCGCGCCCGCGTTGCCGCGGCAACCGCCGCCGGTGCCGCCCGGGAGGGGGTACCCCGCCGCCGTTGCTATGGAAGCCCCTCGCGCCGGTTGCTATGGAAACGCCTGGCGGTGGCGGGGAGGGGGTCCCGCGCGCCGTTGCTATAGCGACTCCCGCGCGCCGGGGGGAAGCGGGCGCTGCCTCCCGCTCTGAGGGGAGCAGCCATGTTCCCGCTCGCCGCCCGCACGTCCCTCCGGGGCCCCGCGCCCTAACGCCGCTCTCGCCGTCCCGCAGGAGGAAGAGAGAAACGGAAGGTTTCGGCAAAGAGTCCAGGGAGCCGACGACCGGTAACCGAGCTTGGAGCTCTGTGGCTGCGAGGGCTTCTCACCTCAAAATTATAGAGATGCTCTCAGAAACAGGCATTTTCTGCAAGATATTCTTGGTTAAAGCATTTTCGAGGCACCRAAGTACAAATTTTGTTCAGTCATGAACTGGCCTGTGGCTGGATCAACTGTTTTGCTAAATTGCAACTTAAAATTTAGCTCGTTATTTGCCTTTAGGCACCACAGTGGAAACTTAATGCAAATCTATGACTTGAGAAGAAACATATGTATATTTTTCCACTCTTGAACTTAGGTGCCTGTGTTACAGAGGTATTACTACGCTGGCAATGTGATGGCCATGTTAGTTTTTATGCACCCACTCCGCTCTTTTGTATCTTGCAGAGGAGTGACCTCTTTTATCACTTATTTTCCCAGAAGCTCATAGTAGAGATGTACTGAATGTCATATGTGTCATTGCTACCTAAAATTTCAATTTTCTTTGGTTTTGTTCTGACTTATTTAAACTAAGTGTTAAACTAAGATTTGCATGTGTTCTTTTTACTTGGTGTTGGAAAAGTGAATTACTGACAAATGAGACATTTTTCACACTGAAAGTTTCTTCTTCCGATTTCCAGGTGACAATATCAGAGAGTTCTTGCTGAGTCTCAGATATTTTCGAATCTTCATTGCCTTGTGGAATATCTTCATGATGTTTTGCATGATTGTGTAAGTACAGCTGGGCAGCATTGCCATTTGTTATCCAAAGTTATATAGTTTGAGATATTGCCACTAGTTTTCTAATTTTTCTCTCTTTCCTCGCTTGTTCCTTAGCTGCTTTTCGTTTTACTTATGTCTAATTAGATCTTCAAAGACTTGTTGGCTGACCTTGTATTTTTTTTGCTAATGTAAAACTGTAGTACACAAAAATCTTTTCTCTGCTGTGCTATAAATCACTTAGCCTGAGTTATAGGGTTTCTTATTGTGTGTTGCTTAGATACATTGTCATTTTCATAAACATTTCAGTGTTCACTTTTGCCATAGTTTTGATTTTGGGGGACCCTAAATAGTAGAATGGACCAAACTTTGCAAATAGTCTGTGGAAACCATGGACTTAAGTCCTGATAGGCAGTGTGGGAGGGCAGAACGGGTACCCAGATGTGTGCTAGAGTTGCACCCATTTGGAGTGACATTGTTGTGGGTATTAATGGTTGTACTCAATTCTCATCTACCTTTTTTTTTTCTCCTGTTGTGTCCACTAGGTTATTTGGATCTTGAAAGTCGTCCACAAACATGTCTGATAACTCAGAAGAGACTTTTTTGGCTTGAAACTTAACTTTTCTATAAAGTAAAAGATCATAATGCTTTCAAAATACAAATACTACCCTGGGATTGTGGCTTGTTTTTCAGTACAAGCCTAAAATGTTAAAAGGGAAAGGACACGTTCATCCTCTTCAGCCAGTTGTGTATTTATACAGCTTATGCTGGTTGGTTTGCTGCGTGGGGCAAAATCTTCAAGGTAGAATCATTTCAACATTGCAGAAATGAACTTTAAATTGTTCTGCTAGTCTTAGACTGTGGTGCTTAGGACGCAGTGTAGAATTGCAGCATGACAGAAGACAACAAACCTAAAAACTGTGCATTGTTAGTCAGTTGCAGCTCCTGATGTGTCTGCTAATGTGATTGCCTAGGTTAATTGAAATCTCACTTTATTCTCCTTTTTATAAACTTGAGCAGAGTATTACACTGTTTGAAGTTTAAAAACACTACCTTTCTTTGTTCACTATTCCATTTAGTTTGTTGAATATACAAATATGATGAAAAAAAAGTGATTCTCTATTTTTTTCCAAAAAAAAGGTTTTTAAAATAAGCTTCAAAGATTAATGTCTTTTCCTAAACAAAAGCAGGGGAGGGGGGATCCTTCAAGAGAGGATCTTGAGAGGTACTATATAGAAGTACTTACAATCTTCAGCTAAATTATAGAAGATGTGTACAGTTTTTGTATTTTATGTTTGAACCCTTTTCTGATGTATTTGTAATGAGTGAAAAAGAGCAATGTGCTGCCTTTGCTGTGGCATCTGTGAGATGACATCCAAGCAAATCTTTGGTTTAATATGATCCTTGGAATGCATTTTCTCCCTTGCGTTCTTTAAGCTGAGCCTGCCCTGGTGAAATTTAAATGGCAGGAAGAAGTTTTTATTAAGTTTATGCCTAAGCCACTAGAGGGCCGCTGCCATCAGCAGAGAAGTGCTCGGGTCTCGTTTTCAAGTTTTAAATCTTAGAAAACTGGTTGTTCCTCTTCAGAATCGACGTTCTGCTCCAAGTGATGTTTTGAGGATGGCGAACACAGGGAATGGAAGATGATCAAACTCTCCTGATAAAGGAAYGTGGACAGTTTTATAGCTCCAAAAGAATAATGCAGATTCATGCCGAGTGCTGCCACCTCAAGGGTTCGGTYGCTCGAAAAAAGCGCTGTTCAGAGATGGGCTCCTTCTCCCATCCAGGTGCTTTAGGAGCGGCGGGGGCTGCTTGCCAGGTGTCACACGGATGCCCTCCAGGATGAGATTTTGCCTTCTATACATTKCTGCGATCCCGACGTCCTTGTTGCTTGTTTCTCCTTTAAAACAAACGAGAGACAAGCCACGTTCCTCTTTGAACCCGTTTTAGTTCAGCTTTTATAGGCTCAGCCCTTTCTTGGTAATGAGCGAAGTTGATCGGTGCAGAGTCCACGTAATTCCCTTTATCCTCTCGTGAGYTGGGAAGCGGACCCCTTTCAGAACAGCTGACTGTGCATAACAGAAGAGCCTGTCGCGCTGCTCCCGTTACCGCCGGCGGTGTCGGGCCGGCCCCGGTGCTCCCGCGTTTGCTCCTTCCTGCCAGAGCAGCCGGCTCGGTCCTGCCCGCCGCGGCTCCGCCTCGTTCCGAGCGTTCTGCCCACGCGGGGCGGCGGCGCTCGGGGCCGCCCCCTCCCCACACCCGGGACCGCTTCCCTTCACCCCCACTTCCCGCCGCCGCCCCCCGCCGCGCATGCGCGTCCCCGCCGCTGCGCGCGCGCGGACGTCAGAGGCGCGCCGTGCGTAACGGCGTCGGGCGTGTCCCATGGTGCCCTGCGCGGGGCTGGCTCCTGCCCACAGTTGAGTTCGGCCCCGAGCGGAACAGTCGGGCCCGGCCCCGGTCCCGGTCGCGCCGCCGCCGCGGCCCCCGCCCCGAGCGCCGCTCCCCGCCCCCGCCTCGCGGGGAGCGATCATGCGACTCCGGCTCCCCGAGGAGGCCGCCGCCGGCGAGTGAGGAGCCGCCGCCCCGGCCCGGCCTGGCCCCGCCGCCCGCCCGCCCCGGCCGCAGCCGCCCCGCTTCGCCCAGGCAATGACAGCGGCTCCGGCGCCCTCCCCGCAGCAGATCAGGGACCGGCTGCTGCAGGCCATCGACCCGCAGAGCAACGTGAGTACGGCCG